ACAAGCTAAAGGCAGAGGAGATTAAATGAAGGCATCACCTTTAACTGTCAGTAGTCCTTCTCAGGACCTTGAAAATGAAGTGTAAAGGGAAAGACAAGAAAGGGGAAAGAAATTTCTGGAAATGTTACAAAAATTGGCAAATAGTATCACTACGTTGATCATTTTCCACAAGCTTCTTAATTCCAGCTCTAAGACAAGAATAGAAACAAAACAGAGGAAATGGCACAATGAGGGCAATTCATGGCAAATTTTAGAGCATGACAGATTGGGAAGTTCAAGAGATCATGAAAAGGGGAGTGTATTGAGTTTCTGGGGTTCTTTTTTATCAAAATCTATAAATCTCATAACACAATGATTGAAAAAAATTGAAGACCTTTTGTTCAAACAAGCATCACTCAAGGGCAACAGGGTATACAGTTCAATCAAGGTGAAAGGTGAATTAATCCTTTTGAATGCTAATAAAAACCACAAGTGCGTTGCCTTTTGTGCCATCACTTCACTCCATCCATTCTTTGTTCTTGTGTTTATTCTGTGCTCAGTTTCTTTACCAAATTCTGAAGTATACAGTAATTTATCACAGTATTAAAGGCAACAGGGCTGATGTCCACATCTGAAGTCCTTTGTAGCTGAGGTAGGTAACTGGTTCTGCCAACCATTATTACCTGCCCATGTCTCCCTGCAGGATTAGACAGGGTGTAGAAGAACAGGAATGGCCATGGGCAGGCATCTGTGGTTACATGGAAATGGTCAGGAGCACAGGTCCCTAGAAATTTTTGCTCAGAAGCAAAGACACACAGCAACAAATAACTGATCTAGTGGTAAATTGGGTTTTGATGTGGTGATAAATAGTTGGGGTCAAATTGTGCTTTCCCAAAATAAATAACAGATGATGACTGTGGCTTCAGCAAGAATAGGATTTCACTGAGAGGGTTTAAGCGAAGTCCCAATATTGTCAAATCAGAATTCGGTGTGTTAACTCCATTTGTAGATCTGAACATATTAGATATGTCCAACAGCAGAAGGGAATTTTGAAGTCAATGGGAATTGTGCCTTCTCAGGAACATCATTCATAGCCCTATGTGGCACAGGATTTCAATAACCTAAAGCGATGTGACCTCATAAATGGCTAATGCCTAATTATCAATGAATCTATTTAAACAGAGGTTTGATTTCACAATTCAAATCTGGAAAGTCTATAAAATGATTCATTTTTCCCCAGAAGGAATTCTGGACTAAGTAATTTCTGTAATAGCAGACAACTTATATACTAAAAAATATGGTCCTTTCAAGGACATCAGGCTTGAGTAAAATGAAACCCAGAACCATTCTTGACACAGATGTTTACTAGACCCCAGGTCTCAACTGAATCATAACAGCCAGGTTCTTAATATAATTTATTGTGTGACTCTTGGCACATTCGAACTTCAGCTGGGTAAAAGGAGGGAAAACATTGAAATACTATGAGAAATTCTTTATTAGTATTATTGTTTTATTTTAATTTTTAAAAACATTAAGCTGTGAATTGTGACTGGTGCAGCTGGTGGATATGGAAAGACAATGGAAGCTTCCTGGTTTATTGGCTGTCATTATGTTATGTTTCAATCGCCTTTCTTTCCTTGCACGTGTTAAAAGTCTATGCAGAGTCAGGTAACATGAAATCTAAAATTAAATTGCCATAATTACAATGGGGAGGCAGAACATGTATTTACTTCTAAAGATAGATGACTAAAGTTAAGACCCATATCTCCTTAGATTGTCTATAGAATCAATGGAGTGGCAGGGATTTCTCCAGGGACGAATTCAAAACATCTTGCTCAGGGTCCTTCTAAGTTGCCTTGTGCTGGTGCATGCAAAATCCGGATGGTACTGTGTCAGCTGTCTAAACCACGGAGTGAGAAGATCTGCACTGCTGGGATGACAGCTGGCCCTCAGACAAAACAAAGTGGATCATCTTTGCATTGTTCAACTTTGCCCAGGAAAAGTTTGGGACAAGGGCAGTGCAGATGGCCCATACAAGCACTGATAACCGTGTTCCTGTACCTGGGAATATTGCCCTGTGCTTCATTTACTAGCATCTGGGTAACCACTCGCTGTGGGTATTTGGTATGCTGTGGGCTACCTGACAGTGTGGCCATCATGGCCAGTGGCCCCTAGCTAATCTATGAAAGCATTCACCCTATGTCATAAATACAGAGATTTGTCCCTGGGAATCAGAGGGCACAGACACGGACTATTTGTCCGTAGGTAAGGAACTATTAGTACATACATCATGGGAGCTGTTTTAAACAACTGTGTTCCAGGCTTCCTCTTGATGTCAGGGGTATTTTGTTGAGTTTCTGGGTGATCACATGTAAATACATTCGCCCACTTCACATTTGTTAGTGGGTTTCAATACTTAACTCCTCCACGCTTTTAATTCTTTTGCTGGATATCTTCCAAATATTTTAATGAGATGATGATAACTTTTAAGTGTGCTTGTCCAGCACAAAGCAAAACCATTTGTGCCAGGAGTGGGGAGGCTGTTAGCACCTACCGCCTTGCATTGTTTAGAAACTGCTGTTCTCAGTTCAGGATCTAAGCACTACAAAAGCACTTTAAATGTACCATTAACTTTTCCTTCTTTAAGAAGAAGGGAGGGGTTTAAGCCTGGAATTCTGTTGAAATATGTTTTCATTTAATTTCCAAGAGCTTTACCGTAAATTGTTTAAATATTATCACTGTGAATAAACACGCCAACAAATCATGCTTCCTTTGCTTTAACCTGTTTTTTGTTTCTTCGCTAGTGAAAGAGTTATTGTACATCTTTCATCTATTTTATTTATAGCTGTGGTGATCATATGCAGCAACTAGAGCAGCTAATGTGACGTAGTTCTATTACACACCCAATAGAAAGGCAGTATTGCTTTGTCTTCAAAGTTTTGGACTCTGAAGTGTAGAAAATAAGCCAAGATATTGCTCTTTGCAGGGTGTGGACTAAGGAACAAATTTTGAATCTCACTTTTTCGCCACCACTATATGTGTTAAGTTACCTCAAGCTTGTCAAAACAATTTACTGTGGATGACTTCTGCAACTGTTCTGGCTCATAGATTCTGCAAGGCAAAAAGGGGTTGATTTGGGGTCAATGGATGCATTAGGAGAGCAGCAAAAAAAGTTGAAAAAATATTCTGGAAAGTGGGCACAAGGTTGTGGTATCCTGCTTAATTTTTATGTATAATTTAGACAGGTAAGTGTCTGCTTTGCCTGCCATTCAAAGTAAGAAGCTTCCTTTCCCCAAAGGCTAACATCAAATCAAAGGAGCAGTCAAGAATGGAAAAGCAGAAATTGTCTCAGTCTTTCTCAGTTTTACAGGTTGGCATCTGAAGATTGGTATAGAAAATGAAATTGTGCTGTGTTGCAAGGCAAATTAAAAATCAAGAATCATGAGCATTTTGTGTGTTAGCACAACTGATTTTGTTTATTTTCAAACCACTCCAAAATCCAATCATGCTGTATGTACATAGACAATACATTGGATAGCACACCAAATGTAGACAAGAAAGATAAAATGTATTCTGTTTTAATTTGCTGGCAATTTTCTTATTTTTTTTCTTCATTGTACTTCTGCTCAACTTGATGAAATGATCCAAGCTATATGGATTCCAGTGTCAACCCTCTCTTAATTCCCATGTCCACACTGCCTCTCTAACAGGAGACATCCATCATACTACCTCTGGGGTGTTTGTCTGAATGGTAAAGGGTGCAGCTTTTTATGTAGGTTCCTCTGGGTCTCATTTCTTATGTAAAACTGTTTAGTGCAGGACAAGTATATCAGCATGTATCTGCTTTAACTATATTCTATAGTTAGTAGGTAAGACCAGCTAATGCTTTGGGTTACTCAGGAAATCATAAGTAGCACACACACACAAACGAAAACAGAAAATAGTCTTCCACATCGTTTAGAGTGTTAATTTTCTTTACGTTTCCAGTGTCGTTTATTTTGCTAAGCATTGCTGCAATTTTTTCCACTTGTCTTATGCTCTTATTTTCTTACAAAACAGTATACTAGGCTTTCTGTATAAAACAAATATATAAACATTTATATATATATATATATAAAAACAAAGCAATGACCCCCAAAATGGACTTACACACAGGTATGTATTTGTCCCTCATTAGAAAATATACTGTGTGTATATCTATTCATTGTCCCTGAATGTCACAGCACTGGCTATCAGAATGGGGTCAGGAGGAAAGGGGCCTTTTATTTTCCTGGTTTGCTTTAAAACATACAGTTAAATTATGTAAGATGAACAAAAGCAGAGCAGTCACAGGAACAATCAGATCCTGTTTACGTATTGGCACCATGTTGTACTTGTTGCCATCGTTATTGCTACTCTCCAATTTGACTACTAGTTTTTACTTCCCAGGAATTAATATATCTATACATTTTTTGTCATATATTCTCTCTCTTCACAATCAGCTGGATGCAGGTTCAGGGAGAATGAAACACCAGAAAAACTAAATGGATCCTGGGACTCTGGAGATTCCTGCCCTGCTTAACTTTCTGGCCCTCTTTCTCAGAGACTATCAATCATTTAGAAAATTACAGTTAATTCTACATAACAAGTAATTTTTAGTGGCCTTTCCTTCCAAAAGATGCTTTTGGGCAATGATTTGAGAAAGTTTTTCACATGCACTGCTGGAAGTAGATACCAGCCTTGCATATTTGTATAAATATTTTTTCCGGTATAAGGCCCCCATTGTTGGTACAGATGGTTCTCTGTCCTCGGTATCTATTCTTTCAGCAAACAGACTGGTCATTCCAACTACTTATCATTACTGAGCAATGTGCTGGGAGAACCACCCACGCTAAGGCCCCAGAAAATTCGGCGGTGGTGAGGCAGGGGTTAAATTTCAGCCCAATTTATTTAGCTCAGGCAAAAGTGTCTAATGACTTCTTGGCCTGAAGACTTTGTAATTGAAAAACCCCAGATATAAAAATGCTATTAAGATTGGGAGCAAAAAATGGAAAATCGTATTGAATTAGAAAACAAAGTACTGCTTGCTGGTTTACAAAGAGTCTATAACACTGATAAAATCTTCGGAAACCAATGTGCTTTTTTTTTTTTTTTTTTTTTCCCCTCGTCCTTCTTTATTTTGGCTTCATTTCAACACGGGAGTTCATATCATCTCCTTCCAGATCATACTCTTCTACTTGACCGCTGGTCCACACCTTCATGCGGTCAGTCAGGTCGCTGCTTCTGGGAGCCAAGATGAAGTCGTAAATCAGGGCAGCACTTGCTCCTCCAATGATTGGGCCAACCCAGAAGATCTGAAACACAGTTCCAAGACCAGTTAATACATCAGGTATTACTGCATTTGAAGCTGTTCTGAAAATCACCTCTGAGGATTTTCACCAGGAAATTTACAGTGAAAACATCAGAATTGCAGTTCATCACCTGAATATTTACTTAACCGCATGGCAAAAAACCACAATATTTTCACTGTGAATTGGCAATAAAGCCAGGGATTAATAACCGTGATTATGTTGTCAAGTTCTGATATTTAAACTTAGCTATCTACTGGTAAAACATCTCTGTTACTCCAGATAGATTTGGCAGGGGGGCACAATTTCTAAAAGCAACAAGGGCATTAGATTCCATTCTCCCACTAACTTTCAGAGAAAGGTGAATTAGAAAGTAATACTTAGTGAGGACCTAATTAGGGGCCTTATTTGCTACCAGCTGCTATTTAGCTAGTGATGTTGCTGTAATTGTACTGGTCTAATCACTTAAGGCAAGTAAAGTTTGGAGGGAGAGGTAGTAAAAGTATCTTAGTAGATATAGGTTGATTTTATTAGAAATAACATATGATTTTGAGGAATTTGCATGGCCAAAGAGTTTCTAAGTCTGAAAACATATTTTCTTCTATTCAGCAATATCAGTGGTTTAATACAAATTATCTCTATCCCCTTCTCTCTGTACAAAGGAAAATATTTTTTTATGTGAAATTCTGAAATTACTAGCTACTAGCATAGTTACCTTACATTAGTAACCCAATAGAAGTGTTTAAGTGGGAGATAATGGCAAAATTTCCCCAGTGTCCTCCTTTTGTGTTTTACTTTTTAGATTAAGATGGCATCCATATCCAAAATTTTCATAACCCATTGTACTACCACTGAATTTCCACAAATGCCTATGCAACTGCCTGACAAAATCATGAGTAGGAGAGTTAGAACAAGCTACATTTTAAATATTCAAGAACACATGCTCATTTAGAGCTTTTATATCAGCCTTCTTTATTGAGGTTTGTGAAATAAGTAACACATTTAACCACAGGGAATAATCTAAAATTTTTAGTGTTTCAGAGCACTTATGCATGAAAGCATATATGCAGACACTTAACTTTAAGATGAACATTTTATTCGCTTCCAAATATTGGGTGATCCATTTCAGTTTATAAACCTGCTTAAGAATCTTCTTAAATTAGGTTTTACTAGATTAAGCAGTAGAATTTAACAAACTCAGTTTAAACGCTAAATATTCAATACAGGATTCTGTGTAATTAGGCTTTAACATTTAAAATATGTGAAATAAATAAACATAAAGGAAAATAACCAAAGAAAATCTACTGCATTACTTTGACCATGCACAGCTTGAGGACTTTGCGATCTGAGGCTGGTCAGGAGCAAAAGGAGATTATTCTTTGTTAAACAAAATAGAAATGGCAACTCACTGGGTGTTAATGATATGTGTTTAAATATTTCTGATCTTGTATATTATGTGTTTGCAGAGCCTCTTGTAAGTTAAAAAAAATTATTCAACTTACCCAGTGATTTTCAAAGTTGTTGGCAATCAGCGCTGAGCCAAAAGATCTGGCTGGGTTAATTCCACAACCGGTGTAATCAATCTAGGAGGTGGAAAGAGAACCAGTGGTGAGGCAGTGATACACACGTGGCATCTGCATTACACAGGAGGGCAAGTGGGAGCCTGCAGCATGGTTCAGGTGCTCACAACAGCTTCATTCATCCCACCCACTCTTCCTCAGAAAAAAGGGGAAAGGCTGTTTGCCATGCACCTGTCTTGTCCCACCAGGGAAAAAGGTGCTAATGCAGCGACTCCTCCCAGATGTGCAACCACATCACTTATTGCCACAGCCACATGGCTCAAGAAAGAAGGGCCACGCATGTTGCAGAAACAAGGTCAGTCTCTGAAGTGGAAGGAGAAGGAAAAAAACCACCATCTGCCCATCATCTTCCTGCCTTCATTGACTGATCCTGAGGTGAGACATTGCAGATACCAACTGTGAGAACTAAAACTTACAGCAAGAAGATGTCCCAAGGCAACGGAGAGACCAATGGCCAAAGGTGCTGATCCTGAGACATCATTCCTTCTTCGGTCTGTGGTGGCAAGGACACACAATACCAGCTGGAAAGTAGCAATGATTTCGATACCTAGTCCTTGGCCAGCATTGATTCCCTCTGAAAGCTGCATGGAGACAAGAAGGAAAATGTCACTTGATATTCCTACCTGATTTTAACCAGTACAACAAAGTTTTGCAGGATCTACTTTCTCAACAGGGAAACAGAGACCTGCCCAGCCATTTTTCTTATCGGGTTTCTTTTACTTAAAAGGGAAATTAAAAAAAAAAAAAAAAAGGGAAAAAAAAATTGAACAGAAATTATTTTTGAACCATTCACTGTATATGTATATATGTTTCTCCATCTAGCAAAACTGAATGCTCAGCCACTAGACACAATGAGAATGTAACTGATCTACATGTGAGAAATGAGCCAGAGATTGCCCTTTACTCGTAGAAGTGGACTCTAGTGCTTTGAGACATTTATTCATTCCTTCTGAGAATCAGGATCCTGTGGTCATGCTAAACGTTGCTCAGCTTGCCTTCAGCAATAATTGCTAAGCAGACGGGGTGGAGGGAGGAAGTGACAAATAGACAGTAGAAAGAGTGCATAGTTCTGGGTAGCTTGAAAGTACCTGTCTCTGCTGCTGACAAGTCATATGAATCTTTCCTGCTCTTCTCCCACCACTATTTAATTTCTGTAATTCAATATGAACTCTTCAAAACAAGGACTTGTGGAAAACATCCTCCAAAATGCTGCCCTCCCCCCCCCCCCCCCGGGCACATTCATCCCCCCCCCCCCCCCCCCGGGCATTTCCACATTAAGACACCTACACTGTGATTCAATTCCCTGAAAATGTTCCTAATGCCACTTGAAATGCCCTGAGATATCCGTGATGTTCATGTGGGACTGGTAGATGTGACACAAGTCCTACAGAGGACCAAAGGTATCTAAATTGTCTCCAGAGGTCAATGTTTAGGCAATCTATCTCTAACTTGGATAGGTAACGAATGTAATCAGTGGAGATGAGATCCATTCAGTGGAAGAAATATAGGTGACAATTTGAGAGTCAACTGAATAGCTCTTTTATTTTGTATTCACTAGATCTCATTTGACTACAACAAGAGCTTATACACTTAATTCACATGTAGACTAATTTTAGGTGTCAGACTCAAACTGAATCTCGGTCAACCTCTCCGGGAGCCATGTAAAACCATCCACAATTCAGGAATCTTAAGGGGTGAATAGGGAAAATATTTCAATTTCTTACTGAAGTAACACAAATTTTCTAGAAAATCGCGCACTGGTAGATGTAGATATTCCAATTGTATTATTAATTATGAAATTAGTAGAGTTTCTTATTAATGTAAATGCTGTAGAACATATTGAAACCACAGTAATTCACATTATACAGTAGAAATGCTGATATATTTCAGGAGTACTGTTAGAAACTTGTGCTTAACAAGAAACCATGACCTAAACCATTCAACATTGTAACAAATTTTGAATCCTGCTTCTAATTGCTATATTCATTGGTATCTTAGATAAGACAAGACAAGCCTGTATCTGAGCTGAATAGCTGGTGTTAAGCAGAAATAACTACATTGCACGGGTAGGTTGGAGCATGAGCTTGAACACAGGCCAGAGAAACTGAGAATGTGAGTGACTCAGAGCAGGAAGCAAACTCTGCAAAACTTATGTTCAAGAATAGTACTATCAGTAGGTTATCCCATCTGTCATATCCTCTGCATTAAACATTGCTTGGTCATACATGGCAAAAACATAATTAAATGTTATTGTGACCTGTCCGGAACAATGAAATCATGCCATAAATCTGTTTTTGTGGTTTTATGCTCTAATTTCCCCCAAACTAATATTTGAATAACCTTAAAACAGAACCCTTTCACTTTCCACTTTTGCTATTCAGTTTTCTTGTTCCTTCTCTGTAACAAAGCAGCATAATATCAAATTCCTAAGCACTGAAAAAAAGCATATGAGTCTTCAGCCAGCATAAGTCTGATTAGCTACATTAAAAACAGTGAAAATATATTGATTTGTAAGACCTGCCAATCTGAAGCATTAATAATATATTTTTATATCATGTTCTTTAATATGCAGGACTGATATCCTTTGAGTTAGAAGCAGTTTTTCACAGGTAGAAGGGAATTCTGGTTGAAATGATGGGCATTTTGGTTCCTTCAGCATCCATATAGTTGAAACTGAAATCAGTTAATGAAATCTTCATCATAAATGGGACTTACATGTGAGAAATATGTCTGACATAAATATATACAGATGACCTGGCAATGAAAATGACATGATGCAGAAACTCACACCGAATGCCTGATATATCACTAAATTAATATTCAATTACTTTTATCATTGCCTTTTAAAAATAATAACTTTTTTTTCACTGCTGAGACAATGGGATTTGTGGGTCTCAACAAATTGGGCTTGAAATGTATCCCATTGATATCGAAAGTAATAGCATCACTTAAAGAATCCAGACTACAGACTGTCTGGAAAATCCTGTCTCACATTTGGAAGGCCAACTGGTCAAACTTAAAAGGCAAGTGCATTGGCAAATAAGTGACTGATATGTAAATGCCCAAAATGGGTAAGTAACTAAATTCTCTTCTATCATAATGCAACTGCTTACCTCAGAGAATCTCAATCTGAGGTCCAACGTCTGACGCATTGATGATTTAATATTTGACAAAGCCTTGGCGTTTCAAATGATTAAACACTGACCTACCATTAGCCTTTCCCTTCATTTGAAAGACAATAAGAGCAAAATTATGCTTTTAAAACCTGTGATAATCCTTATCTTTAAGAGGCGGAAATCATATTCTTCCTTTCCCTCCAGGAAAACGCATCCTACAGCTGACGTGACTTGAGGTAATTCTCTCTGCTAATCAACTCTTATTGATGGGCTGTGTGGAATCAAAGAAAACCTGGAAATATCATAGGAAACCTTTTACTTTCCTACAGCATGTAATTTTACACAGCCTGCCAGGGACATAAGATTCCACTGTGAGAGCAAGGACTCTGGGCCACGTTCCAAAATAAGGCAAATCGAGGCAAACCTTGGATGTTCTGCTTTGCTGTGGTCTGTGGATCTGCAGTACATTAAGTGTAGCATCACAGACATTCCTTATTTGACTACTTGTCAGAGCTATAGTAGCACTATAGCAGCATCTTGGACCATCGAGGGCGCAGCAACACATGGAACAGCGTAAGTCTTCACCACCCTAACTACATCCCAATCAAAGCATAACATGGGTAGTAGGAAGGTGCATTTCCTAGTATCAAGTTAAAATGTACATATATATATACGTGTGTGTATATATTTATTTTTATATAATCCTTGGTCACAGTGGATTTGCAAGCATTACCCACCTAGCAATGCAACGTGATACATTTTGCACCTCTTGAATTTGCTGGCTTAAGTTCTTGACAGAACCAGGTAGGTATAACCAACATGAGCTGGTTACCCTTTCATTGTATTTTCCATACATTATTCTTTTTTTTTCAAGGAAAGCTTGAATTTTTGTAGAATACCTGACTCCAGAAGATTCAGGGCTGTCTAAAGCTTAATCTGAATGTAGTAGGAAGTAGTACTATACATTACAGAGAGCTGACTACCTGAGGTTGTCAATAAAACAAAGGCAAAAATCAACCACTGGTCTTAACATCTAGCATTCTGATACTGAGAATATCCAGAATATAAGGTGACTATATCTCTGATTCTTAAATAGTTAATATAATGCCTTGAAACATAAGATACAGTCACCTCTACTGTAGTGTTGACTTGAAGGGGTCCCTTTCCAGTGACTTTCTTCCCTGCATTGGTTGACTGCCTACCGGCGGTCACAACAAGGTATGTGGGCAGCGAATGTGGGCTGACACTGCATTTGACCTTGATGTATCTGCTGGGAAATCTCTGACCTCTTCTCATCTCAGTCCAGTAACTCTCACATGCTCTGCATTTTAGGTGATGCTCATGAAGGCAGCAGAAAAAATGTCAGAGGGCAGGGAACAGCACAGTAACTGCCTGAGCTTTTCATGCTTCAGACTTGTGAGGCTTGAAGATTGGATTCAGTGCTTTAAGGAACCAAATATGCTCTAAGGGATTAAAACTAAATACACAAGCCCACATTCATCTCCAACACGGTTTCCCACACCATAGGAGTCAATCCAGACTTCTCCTTTTTTGTTGACATGAATTGTTCCTCTAAACTTCATTTCTTAGTCACTATTTTGATAGGAGAAGCACCAGAACCACACCCAAGAAAAGGGTTACGCCATTGGCAAGATCTGAGAGTTATATGTAGACACATATACCTGATCAAGTTCATGGAAGAAAAAATCCAATGAAAATCACTAAATTTACAAACTTCACAACTCATTCAGAAAGCTCCTGAGGTACAACTGGTTGGAACCTAAGGAAGCACATGGGGCACATAGGGCACATGGGATAAAGTACAATGCTGGTTCGCCATTCAAAGATTAGCTTTATCTGGTAATGTTACTGCTGCTCGCGAGCAACCTGGTTTGAATTCAGGGCTGACTCTGCTTTGAGCAAGAAGTTGGACTAGGGACCTCCTGAAGTCCCTTCGAAGCTGAATTATCGTATAACAGAGCTTGGTTTTTTGTAATGGTTCTTCCTATGGGAAGGTCTGGGAGACGATTGCCTCAATGCCGCTCTGGCTTGGCTGAGTTAATGTCTAGAAACAGCTGGTGACATGCAGATAGTGGAGCCACAGTTCATGGATCAATCACTGTGAGGCCTCTGCTTAGATATAATCCATATTGGTGAGTGAGTCAAGAGACATATAATATAATCATATGAGGACCATTAAATCTGAGGGCAAAATTAATGGAAAATTATTATCTAGTCACAACCATGAAAGTAACTAGTTGAGATGAACACCTCCTTTTTGGTCTTAGGAAACGGGTAGCGGTCGCATTGCTTCCATTTCTTCACCACATCAGATAGATGATAGGAACTAGGAAGATTGTTTCTCAGAAGTGCCCTTAACTGCCATGTTTAGCTGACTGACTTCCACAGCTTCAAGCAATAATTTGGGCAAATTAATGGTATGTTTTCTTTTTCTTTTTTTTTTCTTTTTC